GGCAGAATCCTGAGTATGCCAGGGCCCCAGGAGCCGGAGCTGTTTGCCAGGCCTGGTGTCTCCTGGGCGTCTCGGCGGGGGTCATGGTGGGTGGAGTAAGGGTGGCGTTCGTCAAGGCTGGCAGGACATGGACAGGGGTGGGGGCTCTGCTGGGCTTCATTGAGAGGGGCCTTCCCCACCGCTGAGGCCTGGAGGTAGCCTGACCCAGAGGAGATGTGGCCTCTGACAGGTCAGGGCAGTAGAGACAGCCCGACATGGGTTCCTCGGAGCCCGCCAGGTATGGCTGTGTAGGTACAGGTTCCCTGCCCCATTGGTCAAGGACTCAGCCAGGCATGGTGTGGGGAGCTGCAGCTCAAGGCTCGACGGTGGGGAGAACTTTCTAGCAATTTGAGCCTCAGGATCAGGGTGGGTGTTGCCCTCCAGGGAGGTGGCAATGCCATCTGTCAAGGTGGCACAGGGTCTTGTCTCGTGAGCGTGGAGGCAGTGGGCAGGGAACTGGGGCAGGACCCTGGGGAGAGGTGGTTGGAGCCTGTGCGTCAGGCCTCAAGAAGAGTTTGCTAAACCTGCCGTGTCTGTGCTGAGCTCGGTGGGCCTGGGAGTGGGGGCTCCCAGGTGACCCTGTGCTGGGGGGTTCCCTCACCCCCGGGGAATCCTCGTCCTCTGGATGGCTGACCACACCCTTCCCGGGCCTGGCCGGAGCACTCCCAGCGTCCAGCCTCCCAAGAGACGTCAGGAGGCTGGTCCCTGGGAGGGGGCGGTTGCCACCTCCCCGGCTTGGTGAGGAAGAAGGTGCTGGGCCTGGCTTGGGGCAGGTGGGGTCGCGGGCACCTTAGCTGCTGGGAAGGTGCTGTGACGAAACCTAGGAGAAGTGAGGTGCCAGATGGGTGGGGCTGAGGTCACCCCACCGAGGGAGGAAGGCAGATACGGAGGCGCCGGCCCGTGTGTGCCCTGGGGGGCCACCCTCCTGCCTCTTGGCCAAGAGGCTTGCAGCAGGCCTTGTGTCCTCCGGGGCCCCCGCCCCTTCACTCGGGGGCAGGAGAAGCCCCCCACCCCAGGGCCCCCACCTCCTCACGCATTTCCCCTGTGAAGTGCCCTGCCCACCCTCCCACCCCTCTGTCCTTCAGACCCTGCCCTCTGGAGGTTCCCACCGGGCAGGCTGCCTGCTGACCCCTCTCTTCCTATCCGCTCCGCACACTTCCCACCGGCATCCCTGACCTTCCGGACGTGGCCCAAGAAGGCCCAGGGGGTACCGGGGGGCTGAAGGGTGTGGTCACCTTGCCTCACGGCCCCAGAGACCTGATATATGCCATCCCTGCCCAGCCCTTGACCGCTTCCATTTCATTACACCTCATCAGGTTCTGATGGTGTTGACCCTTTGTCCCCCACTGTCACTTATAGGATTGGGTTGAGTTTTCTGGCAGCTCACAGCAGTGGGGGCAGGATGGGGGGGTGTCCTCAGTGAGACTCCACTGAGGCCCAGGGCCCCTCCCCAGGGCTCCAAGGGCAGGGGGACCCAGGGACAGCAGGTCTGGGGCCCAGCTCCTCACCGTGGGCACTTGCTTTACACAGGTTGGCCACTTGTCTGTTAGGGTGAGCCCAGCAACCCCAACCCCAAGGGATGTGTGGGTTTGGGAAGGGGGATCCTAGACCGTGCTGCCGCCTTAAGAATGTGAGTTTGAGGAGCTCTGGCCCTGGGTTCCACGGCGTCCAGCCCCCACCCTGCCGCCGAGCCGCCTTGGTGTGTCTGTAGCACGCCCTGCTCTGGTGTCCTGTGCCTGCCACCCTGCACCCTCCCTGATCCCCTAGCCCTCCCCAGAAACAGCCCCCACATTCTCTGCTGCAGCCCCTTCAAGGACCCAGCGTCACCTGAGCCGGCCACAGCAGCCCTGGCTTCTCGTCTCAGAACAGCTGCTCTGATTCATAAAAATCATTTTGTATTTTCGTCTTCAGTTCAGAGAGTACGGTCTTGTTGGGGCAGAGAAAGGGGCCTTTCTGTGGCCAGGCAGGGAGGACTTGACCCCTCCTCTTTTTGCCCCCTCATCCCCACCCGTCTGGGCCTCTTTCCCCACACTCACCAGGTTGCCCCACCCAGCCCCCTGGCCCAGGCTCTCTCCATTTCTTCTTCCGTCACCCCCATCTGCCCCCGCCTTCCTCCCCCAGCCTTAATTCCCCTTCTGGGGTCCCAGAAGGAGGGGCCTCGGGCAGGCTGAACACGGGGGAGGCAGGGGCTTGGGGCCCCTGGTAGATTTCTGCCCCTGCTCCACCAGCTCGGGGTCAGAAGTGGAGGGACACGAAGAGCCATTGCCCTCACACTGCCCCTGAAGGGCGCTGGGCATGAAGGAGCCCACCACTCAGCCGGCTGAAGGCCTGCTCCCCTCGGAGGATGGGTGGGCGGGACGCCCGGACCTCCCAGGGGTCACTGGGGGGTCCGCCTGGGAACCGGCGTCTGGGAGGGAGGAATTTACAGACTTCTGTTTACCAAAACGAGGCCCCGTAAAACATTTAACAGCAGCCAATTAAAGGGGGACAGCTGTGGGGTTTAGCCCCCTCCGTATAGCACACATGGGCCTCTGCCCCCTACCCCAGCCACCCCCACCCGCCTGGCTCTCAGCTTTTGTCAAGTCTTCCAGGAGCTGCGTTTAATCTAGGAAACAGCTGCTCCAGATGTGTCTCGGTACAGAAACCAGGCCAGTTGGCCAGGCTCTCCGGACTCAGCCCGTGCCCTCTGCAAGGGGGGCTGCAGGTGGACAGGCCAGGGTGGCAGCGGGCACCTTGCCCGAGTCCTCAGACGAGCCGGAGGTGTGAGCCCTGAGTGGGAGATATCCAGGGACTCCTCGGAGCCTTCACTATGTGTGCTTGTCACGAGCCTCCAAATGGGGCTGGTGTGGGTAGCCGTCCTCGAGCGTGTGGGATCCAGGATGCATTCTACATGGAGCATCTCTTGGGGATAGTGTTCCACAGCTTCACCTTGGACCCACTGGGCCAGAGAACATCAAACTGCAACTTTAGGGTCTGAATGGTAGCCTGCCACTGCCGAGGGGCCCCCCGGGATTGGGGTGCAGTGTGCCCCATTTGGACTGGGGACCTTGTTCCTGTGCGATCCTGGAGTAACCGCGTTTGCTGCCTGACCGTTTCTCACTCTGAGCTCTGCCCCCTGCCCCTTGTCCATCTTCACCTCTGAGCTGGGTTCCATAGCCTGACCCACACTGACATGGCTCCCCCTCGGCCTCGAGCCTGCCGAGGCGTCTCCTGGGATGCTCACGGCGGGCTCCAGGGCTGCCCCCACAGTGCACCCACAGCCACCCCCTGGTACCAAGATGGAGGCCAGGCTGCACCGGCCTCCACCCTCCATCTCAATAGCTTCAGCGTCCAGGCAGGCCAGCCTCAGGCCACGGGCAAATGTCCTGGGCTCTCTGGGGACATGTGGGCCTGGAGGTTTGTCCTGTGGTTCTGAGCCTGCCCCTTCTGGAAAGGGGTTACTCAGAGTGTGTTCCGTGGAATGCTTGGCCACTGAAACAGCAGAGGGGTTCTGTCATAAAAGGAGCTCAGAAAACAGTTAATGAGCAAGATGCATAGAGCTCTCTGCTTCGGGACTTGTCAGGGACTTCATTCTGACGCATTAAGAGGGGTTGCCAGCGGCCCTCTTCCCTAGGCTGTGGCTCACGGCTCCCTTTCATCAGGGCACATCTATGACGGGCACTCACACCCGCGCCTTGGTAGCCAGCCTGCCGCCCGCTCCTGGGGACTGCCGCCTGCAGGGCCCTGCACAGGCTCCTCCCTCGCTCTGTCCCCGCGGCCGCCACTCCCTGGGGAAACCCCAGGATTCCTGCTGCCTTATCACAGGCAAGGGAGCCCAGAAGTCGGATGGGAAGCCGCTCCCAGTAGCCAGTGGGTCACGGGACAGTGATGGGGTCCCCAAGAGGAGCTCCTCTGGGGCCTGTTTTCCATGGGGCGAACGTTCAGGGCATTAGCTCAAGGCATGAATTTTGGAGTAAGACAGCGTCCTGCCCACCCCAGCCCAGCGGTGACTTGGCCTCCCCAGCTGCAGGCCCTCTGCCCACCCTGCCCCTCCTTGCTGGACCTGGTGGGGAGCACCCAGTGGTGAGGCGCCCTGTTCCCAGTGGCTGGAGGCTCTGGATGTCCAGCAGACAAGTGTCCTGCCTGCTGTGCCTTGTCATGGGCCCCCGGGCCGTTGGTTAGTTCTGTCTGTCCTCATCCCTTCTGGGGGGCAGAGTGTGAGTCCAGGTGGCCAGAGCCCCCCAGAGTCCAAGGCTGACAAGTGGGGCCAGCTCCAGGGTGTGGCTAGCATTCCTGTGCTAGGCAGGGCCAGACTGGGAGACAGACTAGGCCCCTCAGAGGGACAGAGGGGGTCTTGCCTGGCATGACTGGGAGGCACCAGGGAGGGTCTCAGGGCTGAGGACCGACGCTGGGAACTCCTTTGGGGGCTATGCTGCCCCTGCTGGGAACTAGCTCCCTTTGCTGATGTCAGAGTTCAGAGGAGGCCTGGCCGCTGGAGAGCCTGGCGCCTGCTGCTTCCAGCAAGGTAGAAGGCCGCCACCCCAGGCCGCGCCATCCCTGCTCGTCGTGTCAGATGGCGCAGGCTGAGGCGGTGTCTGGCCCTGACTCTCCTGGCCAGGAACCTCCGTCCACCACGTCTCCCTCCTCTGAGACACCTCTCCAGAGCCCCTTTTGTTGCCCTGCCTTGCAGCTCCCTCACCGCTAAGTGCTGCTGGGAGAGACATCAAAGACGCCCTCCTCCATCCTCCCCTCTCCCCAGCCCATCAGCAATTCAATTTGTGCCGCACCGGAGGGATGGTATTAGTCGAGTCAGAGTTAATATGATGTATTGATGGGTTGATTTCCCACCGGCGGGCTGCGAGCTGGGCTCCGTGGGGCGTCGCTCCTGGGCCGCCCGCCGGCTTCTCACTTCCCTGGGGTCAGGGGAGTGTGGGCCGGGGGGCCTGGAGGCGCTTCTGCAGCCAATCTCATTGCTTCCCTAGCTCCAGGGTACCCCAGATTTTCGGGGAGTCTGGCATCCACCTTCCTACCCATGAGCCACTTGGATCACCATGGAAACAGCAATGTTCTCTATGGGCAACATCGTTTCTATGGAACCCAAAAAGGCAAGTGCTGGCGTCAGACTATGAGGGGCCTGGGACCAAGGGATCTTGGAGGGGTGGAGGGCGGGACTGGGAGCTTCTGGGGTGTCAGGTAGAGGCGGCCAGCCTGGGTGAACCCTCCCCTCCGGGTCTTGGGCCATGGTGGGGTAGGGGCAGGAGTGGGGCGCGCCTGCTTCCCAGGCCCCTGGAAAATTTAAACTCCAAGTGGCAGGTTAAGTGCTGGGTCAGGTGAGCACTCTGAAGACACAGGCACGCTGTCTGGAGCTCTCGTGGCTCAGGTGGAAGCGTCTCAAGTAACCGTGACCCTGAGGGGGTGGTGTCCAGCTCCCTTAGCACCTGGCCCAGCCCTGCACCCTCTGCCCTGCCCCTGCAGCTCAGGGGTTCCAGGGGCAGTTCAGGGGAGGATGTCGTCAGGTGGGGGCAGAAGAGGCCCCCCAGAAGCCTGCACTTTCCGCCTCACTGGATGGCCTGAGGCCCAAGTCCCCCACCCCCACCCCAGGGCCTGAGGACAGACAGAGGCTACAGGCAGGTGGGCCACGTTGTGCCCAGTGGACAGGAGAGGGGCTCCCACCTCTTGGCAGGAGGAGGCCCCCAGGAGGTGTCCCTGGAGAAGGGAGGCTGAGGTTGGGGCTTCTCTGATAAGAAGGCAGGGCTGGTGGGGCAGTGGGAGGGGCATTCCCCCAGGAGAGCACGCACACATACCACATACACACATAGAGACACACACACACATATGTGCAAAAGTCCCAGTTTGAGGGCGTGGATCCCATCAAGGAGCCTGTGGGAGATGCAGTCGCCTGGAGATGGGACAGGTGTAGGGAGTGGCTGGAGGCCTTGGTGTCCATCTCCAGGATTTTTCCTGGGTGGGGTGACATCTCTTTTGCATTTTGGGAAGCGCTCCCTGGGGTGGTACCCAGGAAGCTGGGGCAGGGAGACCATTGGGTTAGTTACCATGTTTCAGATGACAAGTGATACGGCCTTGAACTGGGACTTGGGGTCCCATGAGGGCCCTGGAAGGAGCCTGAAGGATAGGGGGTCCTAGATGACCCCTGATTCATGGCCCCGGCTGCGGGAGGGGGTGCACCTAGGGGCCAGCAGTTCACAGGGGATGGGTAAGTTCAGCTTCTGTGCAGAGGGGCTGAGGGGCCTTCGTGGGGGTATCTAGGTGATGGCTAGACAGTGCCAGAGGTGTCTTGGGGGTCAGTGCCAGAGGGGTGGGTTGGGAGATTGACCAGGCTCAAGGAGAGGGGCTGCCCCGGGTGCGGAGGGTGGATGAAGAGAGGATGCTAGGGAGCCCCAAGGCCAGGGCTCTGAGTGGAGCAAAGAAGGGACCCACGGAGCACCCAGCAGAGCCCGGGAGGTCGACAGGGCACCTGGCAGGGCTTCAGGAGGCAGCAGTTAAACTGGAGAGTGTCGTGAAGGGGTCTCAGAGAAGGAAGGGGTCCCCAGCGAGGTGAGCCTGTGGTCAGCCCTCCTGCCTGCCCTGGCCATCCCCCAGCCCCTTCTCTCTCCTGACCTCCCACTCCAGGCCCTCAGCATGTCCATGTCCTGGAGCCCATCTTGCACCTTAGGGCCTTGGCCTGGCCTAGAGCTGGCCCGCTGGGAGCGGTGCAGACAAGCTCCCCACCCCTAACCCGGGGATGGACAGACACCCAGGAAGTCCAAGCCTCCTCAGGGTTGGAGGCCAGGTGCTCTGCTGCCCCGAGGACAGCCCCTCACCGCCCGTGAGCTGGGGCCCCCAGACTCCCAGGGCAGCCCCGGCACATGCAGCTGTTGGGATGGTGTTTGTCAGGAGCAGGCAGGTGGTCCCAGCCCCAGAAACCCAACTCAGTGAACCAGAGCCAGGTCCCCATTGGAGTGCTGGTGGCCTCTCGGCTTTCACCACGTTGTGGTAGAGCCCCATCCAAGAATGCTTTGGTTTTGGAAAAAGAGCTAATTAGGTTTTGCCCAGGCGACCCTCTTCCCCTTGTTTTAATTAGCAGGAAATTGACAAGGAATTTACGTGACTTGAGGACAGTTTTACAAGTTCCAAACATTTCTTTTGTTCTGCCTTGTCTGCTGTCGCAGCTCCAGGATATCCGCGCTGCTTGTCAGCCACCTCAGCTCGGTGTAGAGGGGGGCTCCCAAGGTCCCCAGAGATGGTAACCGGCCTCAGCTTGGAGACCAGTGGGTGTCCCCAGGGCTGGCTGTACCCTGGCAGGAAGGGTTTCCCCCAGGCCACGGACCAGCGCAGGGAGCTGGGGGCACACCCATCCGCTCCCAGGCTGGGTGGGCTCGGAGCTGCAGGGGCATTGAAAGCTGATTGTGGGCTAGGGGTGGGGATGGCCAACTGGGACCCTTTTCCTTCCCCCCTTTTTTAAAGGGTCCACCCAGCCCCCCATCCTGAGATATAGCCATAGTTAAGATGCAGAGAGGCCGGGGGCCTCCTGGGGGATTCAGGAGGTAGGTGAGCAGGGGCCTTCACACCCAGCCCATTCTCAGACACACGTCTCCCCTGGGTCTCACTTCCTCCTGAGGGTCTGAGCAATGCCCTGGGGCCAGCGAGAGCCAGGCACTTAGCCGTCCACAGCGCATGGCCCCACTCGCAGTGGGCTCTTTCAGACGCCTCTCCATGTAGCTTGGCATCCTGGCACAGCACACTGTGCATTGGCCACATCACGCCACATGCCATGTGCACTGCCGTCCACTTAGCTGTTCACCAATGGTGAGGCAGCAGCCTCCTTCAGCTTTTGAGGTTCTAATGGCTGTTTGTAAAAACCCAACCAGGGAGCCGGCCCAGTGGCTCACGTTAAGTACGCACATTCTGCTTTGGTGGCCTGGGGTTTGCCGGTTCAGATCCCGGGTACAGACATGGCACCGCTTGTCAAGCCATGCTGTGGCAGGCGTCCCACATATAAAGTAGAGGAAGATGGGCACGGATGTTAGCTCAGGGCCAGTCTTCCTCAGCAAAAAGAGGAGGATTGACAGCAGATGTTAGCTCAGGGCTAATCTTCCTCAAAAAAAAAACCAACTGGTTGTGCTTCCAGCATCATGTGGGGTGAGAGGAGATGCCTGTTGCCGTGGACCTCATCCCTCTGGCTTTGTCAGCACACACTGCCATCCACTCCTAACTGCCCGCCCTCCACTAACCCCCACGGGCACTGGGCCAGGCAGGGGGGACCGGGCCGTTTGCAGCTCCCATCTCCTGGGTGGCTGAACATCAGTCAGACCCTTCTAGGGGGTGGGGAGTTAGAGTTTCATGGGATCAGAGCTCCAGTCGGGACAATAAGGAAGTTCTGGAGATGGATGGTGGTGATGGTTGCACAGACAATGCGAATGTACTTAATGCAACTGAACATCACACTTAAAAATGGTTAAAGCAGTCAGTTTTATGTTATGTGCAGTTTACAATTTTAAACCTTCCTCAGACAGTAACCTTGGGTCAGTGCCAGCTGGCAGTGGGGAGCCACCTGGAGCCTGGGTCCTGGGGGAGTCTCTCTCCAGCCCCGGCCCTGCTCCCAGTTGACCTTGGTTCTCTCAACACGCAGATAACTTCTACCTGCGCAACCTGCCCCCCCAGCCCACGCTCCTCCCTGCCAACCACAACTTCCCCGGCGTGGCCCGGGCTGCCCCTGGCCACCCCATTGGCTCCTGCAGCCGAGACCGGGGCGAGGCCAGCCCCCTGCAGAAGGGCGCCAAGGAGTTTGACCACTTCGTCATGGGCAAAGAGCTGGGCAGAGAGAAGGCTGGCAAGGCAGCAGAGGGCAAGGAGCGGCCAGTCGCAGAGGACGACGGCGGCAAGGAGCGCCACAAGCTGGTGCTGCCCGTGCCGGCTGACGGGCACTGCAAAGAGGGCACTGCCGCACCCCGGGGCACCTGCGAGGGCCGCCCCAAGCACCTGGCCTCCTGCCTGCTCAACACCAAGGTGCTCAACGGCGACATGGGCAAGTCTGCCCTGGCCAGCTGTGCAGGGGGCGTGCTGGCGAGGTCCAGCATGGGCATGGCAGCCTCGGGCCGCTGCACCAAGGAGGCGGCGGGCCCCGCGGAGCCCGGGCCGGCCTTCAGCGAGTGCCTGGAGCGGCGGCAAATGCTGCACCACGCCGTATCCTACACTGTGCCGTCTGGCCTGCCCGCTGGGCCGCCCCCGCCCCTCAGCACAGCCACCGGCTCCTTCCCCTGCCTGCAGCTGCATGGCAGCCCAGATGGGCTCTGCCCACTGCAGGACAAAGTCCCCCGGGACCTGAAGGCCAGCGGGCCCACCTTCGTGCCTTCTGTGGGACACCTGGCCGACAAGAGCCGCCCCTTCCAGGCGGCCGAGGCCTGTGCCGTGGCAGGTGAGGGCAAAGATCGGCACCTTGATGGGGCCGTGGCCCCTGACCACACCACACCCTTTGGGGTCTCCTATGCCCACCTGAAGGCTGAGGGCAAGGGTGAGCGGCGGCCTGGGGGCTTCGAGGCAGCCCTCAACCCCCGGCTAAAGGGTCTGGAGTATCTCAACAGTGCAGGCCCCGAGGCCCCCTTCCCCGGGCTCCCCAAAGGCAGTCTGGACAAAGGCGGCTACTTCGAGTTGCCCGCCCCCTCACAGGACTGTGCCCGGCCGGTTCATCAGGACCCGCTGGGTGGGAAGGTCACTCAGGCCTGCTGCACTTTAGACAAGACTGCCAGCAAGGAGGCGCCCGTGGGTCCCCCTGGGGCCCAGAAGGTGGCCCGGATCCGGCATCAGCAGCACTTGGTGGCCCCTGAGGTGGAGCCGGGGGCCAGTGGGGTCGAGGCCAAGCGCAAGTCTCTGGAGCTGGCATCTCTGGGCTATGGTGGGCCCCACCTGCCCCCGTGGAGCGTCCAGTCAAGCCAGGGCACTGCCATGGCCATCAGCGAGGAGCGCAAGGGCGGCGCCTACCTGGACCCGTTCGGCGGCGGCCTGCAGCAGGCAGCTCTTCTGTCCCAGGACCTGCCCACCCCGCCCGACGAGGTCTCGGCCATGAAGAGCCTCCTCAAGTACAGCAGCCATGCGCTGGTCGTGGGCCAGAAGGTGCCCTTTGTGGGCCTGGGTGGCCTCAAGGCCAGCTGCGCCCAGCAGGACGTGAAGTTCCCGGCCTCCAAGGGCCCAGGCCAGGCCCCCGGTGAGGTGGAGAGGCCCGACTGTGCCCGAAGCCGGGAACACGACGCCCCACACGGCGATGGAGAGGTGCGCCAGCCGCCCGTAGGCATCGCAGTGGCCTTGGCCCGGCAGAAGGACACGGTGAGCCGACCTGAGACGGCCTATGGTGCCAGCACCGGGCGGCAGGGCCGGGCAGCCCCCACCTTCAAAGGTAGGCCCCTCCATGGGGAGGGAGACAGGGGACCTTTGTTCACCCTCCTGAGTTCCCTGGGAAGCACCCTGGGCACCCCCACCTGTCTCCTCCTCGTGTCTGCAGTCCTGTACCTCCTAGGGCGGACTGGCCTGCCCCTGCCCCGTGAACCCGCTGGCTCCCCTCACCTGCCCTCGGCAGACCCCTGAGGCCCACAGGGCAGGAGACCCACCCTGGCTGGAAGTGGGGTCCCTGCTTGCTTTAGCTGCTGGCTCCCCGCCATCCCAACCCTCGTCCCCTCTGCTGTCTCCCACCCATGCAGCTGGTGGAGGGCCCCGCGCCACCCACACGCTGGACCTGGAGGCCGAGGAGGAAAGGGCGCGCCTGTGTGAGGACCGTCTGGGGCTCTCGGGCCGTGAGCTGCTGCTGCAGTAAGAACCGGGACTTCGGCCTTTGGGGCAGGGGCCAGACTGCACCCCCGGCTTGCCCACTCAAGCCCACATGGGATAAATTGGATGGGATGTCAGGTTTAGCAGCCTGTTGCAGGCAGGGCTGTGCCTCCACCTCAGCATCTTTCTGGGGTGTCTGCCCACTTTGAGGGGAGCTCTGCTAACTCCCTTTCCACCAACGGGGCATTGCCGGGACGGAGGCCTCTGACACTAAGAGCTGCCTGAGCCTGGGGTCTCTCCTGATCCTCCAAGCAGCCACCAAACCCCCCCCCCACCGCCCACGCTCCAAGGTTGATGGTCACAGGCTGGGGTGAGGAGCCAGGTGGGTGGCCTGGTGACTATCCTGAGCCCCCCCGACTGTGGTCCCTATGATACACAGGGACAACAAGGACCTCGTGGAATTCACCCGGATCCACCCGTCAGGCAGCTGCCCCGGAGATCTGGCCCCTCACCTCATGATCGGCAGCAGCTCCTCTCTGCAGAGCAGCCAGCTGGGCGGAGACCCAGCCCCCCACCCCCACCCTGCACACCCCCCCTGGCTGCCCCGCACCCGTAGCCCCTCCTTGTGGATGGGGGGACATTCTTACGGTCAGTGCTCCGAGGGCAGGTCTGGGGCAGCCGGTGAGGACGGGGCAGGACAAGTATCTGGGCCGGGCTTGGGGGTCAGGGCTGACTTGGGGCCAACCAGCCTGGTGTGGGAGGCCTGATGTGGCATGGGCCCCAGCTGGCCTGCGGTCCCTGCTCCCTGCCTCACACTGCCTGACCTCTGTGCCCTGTCTCTCTAGGCCTTGGGCACCCTGCCCTGCACCAGAACTTGCCCCCTGGCTTCCCTGCCTCTGTGCCCGGCTCCATGCCCTCCGTCTTCCCCCTCTCCCAGGATGCCCCTGCACAGCTAGTCATCCTACCCTCAGAGCCCACGCCCCACCCCGCCCCCCATGCACTTGGTAAGGGCCTTCCTGGCCAGGCTGTTTGCATGTGGGGGTGTGGGAAGCAGATCTGAGAGAGAGAGCAGCCCACGTGGGGGTAGGGGCGGGAAGCAAGGACCTGGCCAGGGCGAGGGAGGCAGGTGTGAGGTGGATGAGCCGGCGGTGAGGGATGGTGACGGGGCCGGCTCTGGTGGCTGGGGACATAGCCCACCCATCCCGGCTGGGGCTGATGGCTCCTTTGGCCCTGCCCACAGCTGATGTCATGGACCAGGCCTCGCTGTGGCCCCCCATGTACGGGAGCCGGGGTCCCGCCTCCCACATGCAGCACCCAGGTCAGCTCCCCGTCTACTCGCGGTCCCAGTTCCTGCGGCAGCAGGAGCTCTACGCCCTGCAGCAGCAGCAGCAGCAACAACAGCAGCAGCAGCAGCAGCAGCAGCAGCAGCAGCAGCAGCAGCGGGCTGCCCAGGCCCTGGAGCTGCAGCGGGCCGCCCAGTTCCAGGTACCCACCCCCACGGCCACACCCAGCCGGGACCCAGGGCACCACCCGCTCCCTGTCTGCTCCAACCTGGCCTGGCCCAGGTGTCCCCACTGCACACCCCCACCCCCTACCCCCACCATGGTGTCCTGAGCAGGGGAGCCTAGCGGGCTGAGCCTCTCCCCAACCCCGACAGCGGAAGCCCGAGGACCACCACCTGGAGCTGGAGGAGCCCGCCCAGGAGAAGGCCCTGAAGTCCACTCACAAGCCAGTTGCCTTAACCCCCTCGGCCAAGGGCGCCCCCTCACCCGCCACTGCAGGCCCCGCCAAGCTGCCACCCTGCTGCCACTCGCCCGCCCCGCAGCCCCCTGCCAGCTGCCCCACACCGCCGCCGCGTCCCAGCGCCCCGTGCACTTTATCCCTCTGCCCCACTGGCAGCCCCGGGCCTGGCTCCAAGCTGTCCAGCACCGAGGACAAGAGTGGGGAGGCCCGGCGGCCCGGAGCCGACCTCAGCGCGTTGGAACCAGGTGAGAGTGGGCCGTGCTGGGCTGGCCACGGCCCGCCCCCTCCGCTCTGAGGCCTTTCCCCCCTCCTGGGCGGGCAGAGCTGAATGACCAGAGCTGAGGGGTCCCAGGCCCCCTGGTAGGGCCCGGGACAAGTTGACTGTCCCCTGCTCTTTCTCCTCTTCCCTCTCCACAATCCTTCTGGGTCACCCATGGGGAAGCACTCAGGGTCCCTGGCAGATGGGGCAAGATGAGGGTCAGTCCCAGTCGGCCGGCTCTGGGCCCTGTAAATGGTGAAGTACTGGCCTGCTGGGGACCGTGGCAGGACCCCGGGGCAGCAGCCGCAGGACCTGTCCCCAGCCATGAAGCTGGGCATGGGAACACATCCTCGGCCGTCAGGGCCAGAGATGCCACCCCGCTTGGGCCTGAAGCGAGAGAGGCGGCCCGCGGTGGAGGGGCCTGGCCGGCCTCAGCCTCTGCAGCCCGCCCACCGCCGCCTGCCAGCTCCCCCACAGCTGCTGGATTCTCTCTGAATTAGGCTGAGAGTTTACACTGGAAGCCCGTGTGGCGAACATAAAACCGTCCCAGTTCCACAACAAGGAGACCGAGCCAAGAGAGGTGGTTTTTTTTTTCTAGGCTTTTTTTTCCCCTTAGTTTTTTTTTCTTTTTTTTTTTTTTATTGCAGTTAATGGGGCGTAATGCCTCTGACAGGCTGCCGCTCGTTCTGGTTCAGGGAAAGCCCTGATTCAAGTGTCTGGGTTTAAAGCGCCCCCCTTTTCTTATGAGCCATACCACACCATGCTGGAGATGGCCCCCAGGGGTCCCTGTGGCTGCGGCAGGGCCAGGGGCCTCACAGCTGTCCTGGCCAGAGAGAGGGTCCTGGGCCAGCCTGGAGGTCTGGCTCCCCCTCCACATAACCTGTCCCCATTCCTGCCCAACATGTTCCATAGGCACAGGGCTAGCTGGGGCCCTCCCTCCCAAATGGGGGTCCGAGGGGTTTGAGGCCACCCTCCTCCTGCTGCTCTCCTAATGATGCTCCTCTTTTGCAGACCTGCCTCCCGGATGCACGTGCCCTGTGGCTGGCTCGGGCTGCTCTCTGCCCCCCAATGTGCACTCATCTGACCTCTCGGACCCCAAAACTATGCAAACCGCCACCCCTGGGGCCCAGCCTGAGCCAACGAGGACGTTCCCACCCAGGGAGCCACCCCCCCGCAGTCCCCCGAGCCTCGAGGAGCCTGGGCTGCCCTCAGGCGCCAGGGAGGCCACCCAGGACCTTGCCACCACCCCCTACCCTGCAGAGCAGGGACCCCCGGGGAAGGCAGCAGACCCCAGCCCACTGGAAGGGCTGCGGGAACTGCAATTCGGGCCCTTCCTCAGGGGAGGGGGCCCTGAGGCCAGGGGCCAGGCTAATTCTACTCAGGGAGGGGCCCGAGAGGAGAGGACCACGGAGGAGGGGAGGGAAGAAAGGGAGCAAGGGCCCTCGTCAGGGGCCGGCCCCCAGGCCCTGGAGCAGCAGGCGGGGAGCCCGGGTGCCCTGGACAAGGCAAAGCCAGGCGAGCGGCAGGCCCCTGGGGAGGCAGAGCCGGCGGCCAAGGCCGAGGCCAAGTTCCAGGAGGATGAGCTGGAGGAGGAGGAGGAGGACTGGGGATCGATTCCTGACAGCAGGCACCTGCCCAGGACACTGCTGGGCCTGGATGCCCTGGTGGCTGCCACCATCGACCTGGGGGATCTGCCCGCTGTTGGCCTGCTGGACCCTCAGCCCTGCACTGTCCCTGGGCCGCCCAGCACAGCCCCTCTGCCCCATAGCTCAGGAATTCACGGAATCGCCCTGCTCAGCGAGCTGGCTGACCTGGAGATCCAGCAGCGGAGGAGTGAGCCAGCCCTGCCAGGTGAGCCCCCAGCACCCTCACTCCTCTGGAGTACCTGGGGCTGGACCCGCAGGCACGGGCTCAGGGTCAACAAGCGATAGTGGTCTTCGGCCCTGCTCAGCTGTCTCCACAGTGTGGTCCCACAGTTGCCCCTCCACCCACCAGCCCCTTGACAGGAACCCAGAGGCAGTGTGCCCACACCATATCACCCCCAGCCCTGGCTGCTGACTGGTCCACTAGGGGCCAGGAGTGCACCGGATGGTGGTGTCAGAGGAGGGGCCTCCGGGCCGCACCTCCCTGCACTTGATGTTCCCGACACCCTCAGGGCCCACAATTGTCTCCATTTCCAACCTGAGGATTCCCAGGCCCCCGCAGGGTGGGGCTCAGGGGTCGAAGCTTCTGAACAGATGCCTCACAGCCAGGGAAGGGGGAAGAAAGATGGCATCCTCCTCTGCAAGCTTTCAACGCTCACCTTCCACCTCGGGCTATGAGGCTCCTGGCCCTGGGCCTGTGCGCGGCCCTGCTCAGGACACATTGGCGCTTGCCTCCCAGGCCCAGGGGAAGTGACGCAAGATTGCTCAGACGGGTCCCCAGGCCTCAGCACTCCCACCTCCCCTGCAGCCTCAGCAGGGCTGGGGGCTGGGGGCAGGGTGCAGGATGAGGTGCTCCTGGGCTCCCCACACCCCCCAGCAGCCCCGGGGCACAGGCGTAAAGCTGGTGCTGCCCCCCAGCGAGATGGGCCAGGTCTCTGCTTAGGCTGCTCTAGCCCTCCGCTGTGCCCCAAAGGGACCCCACACGGGCCCTCCTTGCTGCCCAGGTGTCCACTAGGAGAAGCCCATCTTCCATGTCCCACAGGGAGCCCCTACCTGGGGGAGCCCCTGGTCAGGCATCGTGCTCCATCGATATTTATAGGAAGAACCCAACACAGTCCTCAGACTTGCCCACTTGTTTTCCCAACACGTGAAGCTCTCTGCTGCCCGTTGCCAGCCTCTGGCGCCTGTTGTGCTGCGTGGAGATAAAGTGAATGTTCCTGTAAAGTTAATTTCCCTGAAGGCCTCTGTGTCCCTCCTCTCCTGTCTGCCTGCACAGGGTCCCCGCTGTGCCGAGGGGAGTAAGCCGGGGAGCCCCAGTAGGGCCTCGTTTGGGGCTTAGGGCTGTAGGGTGAGGCGGGGGTGCCCCGGGCAGGGCCTGTGCTGCTGGGACCCACGTGTGAGTGTCTCTGGCATGAGGCTGCTCCCAGCGGATGCCGGTGCCGTGTGTGTGGCCACCCGGTCTGTGCGTGTGAATGCCTGCTGGACCGGCGCCCATTCATTGAATGAATGCTCACGTGGAGACCACGTGTGTCCCGCTGTGGGGGTTGCAGCTGCCAGCCCAGGCCAGGCGCTGCCATCACCAGGGTGTGTGGACCAAGAGAGGGGCCACAGCCAGGTCTCCACCCCATGCTCCCCTCCTGTCACCCGCGGGCCCCCACCCTCCCTCTGTCCCAGTGAATTGTCTGGTCTGCACAGCCTCCCAGCTCCAGAGCTGTTCCATGCAAGTGCAGTGACCGCTTTGCCTGAAATTAATTAGATCGGCTCCTTTCTCCGAGCGAACAAACAGCAGGACTCAGAGGGAGAAATTGGGAGAACTCGGATCAGGGGCCGAGTGAGACAGGGAGCAGAGAGAGAGGTGTGAAGATCCCAGAAACAGCAGGGTTTCCTGTTGCTTCCTCCTCAGAGGGGACCCCCTAAAGTACTCCCCCAGGCTGGACAGAGCAACTGGTGAAAGGCCGGGTGGGGGTCCCAGAGAGGTGGGAGGAGGTAACTGGGTTCAGAGAGGCGATGTGGCCCTCGGCTCTGTGGCTCTTGGCTCCATGGCCGGGCCGTGGTTAGAGCCCCAGCCTGTTTGCTCTTGGGCTGGGGCCCGTCCCACGCTCACTGACCTGAGCACCCAGGGCCCCTCATAGCACCCCCTCCCCCTTCTGGGCAGGCCTCTGCCAAGGGACCCTTGACTTGCCCCCACCTGGGCTCAGAGCCAGGGAGCTCGGTGGGTGAGCTGCCCCCAAACCCCCATCCCAGCTGCAGGGACTCAGGCCCCAGACAGATGGAGCCCTGGGGTGGGGGTGAGTGGGACACTTCTGTTTGGCCTTGGATGGTGAGGCCCGAGGGCAGGGGCTGGGCCCTGAGCGCCCAGAAGGCCCTGCTTTGCTCTTGGAGGAGCTGCCTGGAGATGTGGTGCCCCTCGGCCTCCCATCCATCCTGGGATTTGGGGAAGCCCAAATTCCCTTGGCAGAGGCCTGCCTGGGGTGGGGAGCACTATGAGGGGCTCTGGGCACCCTCTCCCTCCCAGGTGTGGATGGCCCTTCTTTCCTGAGTGAGCCTAAAACCAGGATGGGCTGCCCCAAGATCCCACCTGGGATCAAAGCCCCCAGACCTCCCTGCTTTGAACTGCCCTGCCCCCCGCCCCCCAACCTTCCCCCCGGCCAACCCCCTGGCCTTCTCCCTGGCCCACTGGCCAGGCACGGCTGTGGGGAGGAAGCCTGCGTCTCGGCCATTGTCTCTGTCTGTGACGCCCGCTGCCTGCCTGGGCAGCCCTACAAGGTCCCACGTCTTTTCACGCAGCCCTGGGGATAGGGGTTTGAGACCCCTGGGGCTTGGGAGCGGGTCTATTATCGGCTCTCCCCACTGCCCCCCAGACTAGAGAGCCAGGCTGGGTGGTGTTTGGAGCCCAGAGCAGGGCCCTCCCCCAACCCCTCCATGCCCCCTCTCTGCCCTCTCCCTGCACCCACCCTCCTCCCAGGCTCACCCTCAGGACTGCACAATCTCAACAGGCTTCGCCTGAGGGAGGTGGGGCTTGGGGAGGACTGAGGGAGGCGAGGAGAGGGGCTTCTGAGTGCTCACAGTGACCCCAAGAGATGGGAAGACCGTGCAGAACTTCCTGCTGAAATGAGGCTAGCAGATAGCCCTGCCCTGGCTGCGGGTGGCAGGAGCAGCTCAGCTCGCCAGGAGGAGAGGGCCCCCTCAGCCCCCATTTTCAGGGCACCTTTGACCCAGCAGCCCATCTCTGGGCTGAGGGTCTCCTGTGGTCTTGGCCCAGAACCAGTGTCCAGAGCTTTGAGCTTCCAGCGTCCGCCCTGCGGCTTTGTGCCGTTGTGGAGGTGGTGCACCTCACAGCTCCATCCGTGGCATCGGCCGGGCACTTCCACCTTTGTGGGGAGGCGCTCTGAAACCACATGGTTCCCCTCCTCTGCATTCAATTCATTTGTTTATCTATATCAGTGTGACTCGTGAATTCTTATTCTCTTTAATCTGTTGTAATTTGTGGCTGTCACCATTTATTTTGATGACCGAATTGTCTCACATTTGCCCCATGGAGCCCCTTTGGCTGGCCCATGTGTGCCCATGTGTGCCTGTCTTTCTCTGAGCACTTCCTGTGTTCCGGGCTCACCCATACCTCCACTGCCCTGGAATCAGCCGTCTCCCCAAGGAGCCAGTTCTCTTCTTCAGGAGGCCAAGACCACGGCATTAGGTGTGCTCCTGGCTACTCGAGTGTCGTGCGCCCAGGCCCACTAGGAGGTCAGAGCTAGCTGTATGTTCTGGGAAACACGACTGCTCACTGGCACCTCCAGCTCCAGGTGCCCTGTCTAACCCCCAGGGCTCTTCCTGGTGGGCTCCCCTCCCTAGCTGTGGCTCCTCCAGGGATCAGCCTGTCCATGTGCACCAAGCGCCCCATCTCTGCTGCCACCGCATCCCCGTGGTTGCACTTGGGTCCCAAGTCTCCATTCCAGGACTCTCTCCTGAATGGATGCTGCCTCCGCTGCCCTTTGACCCTGCGCTGGGCCATCCCTCCCCACCCCGCTAGGGCTGTGATGCTCCAGGTTTTCATGAAGCCAGGAGTGGGTGCACATGCATGGGCAGTGTCTGTTAGAAGTGTAACAAGCTGCGTGACTTTACTAGGTTTGAGGTCTGTCTGGAGGGGTTGTGCCATCCCAGCTGGCCTCGCCCACAGTAGCCAAAGGGGACTTCTCCCCAGGCAGAGGCCAGCCCCGGGCCCCATCTTGCTGTTCCTGGCCACCTCACCCTCATCCTTGGTCCTCACTTCTCAGGGAGCAGGGCAGCCCCAGGGGTCTGGGCCATGCTGAGATGCAGGCTGGCATCCAGAACCTCCTTAAGGAACAGTGCGTGTCCGCCACCCGCACACACTCTGATCTTCATGTCCCCCGCAGAGGAGGAGGATGTCCTGGCTTTCAACCTGCAGCGCCTGGCCACGCTGGCCTCAGCCTGGTCCCTGGTGGAGGCCGCTGGCCTGGACAGCCCTGCCTCCTCAGCCCAGCCCCTTGCTGCCGACCCCCGCAGGGCTCCCACGCTCACCCCCCGCATGCAGATCCTGCAGCGCAAGGACACCTGGACCCCCAAGACCAAGCCTGTGAGTGGGGGTCCCTGGTTGCCCCCATAGCCCAGTGCCCTGAGCCCGGGGGGACCTTGAGCACCCAGGCCGGCCGCCCACTTGCCACGTCGTGAGGCCCTGACGGGGCTCATGAGCTCCTGTGCTCCTGCCCACCAGGTATGCCCACTGAAGGCCGCCATCGACCGGCTAGACACGCAGGAGGTGGAGATGCGCATGCAGCTGGCAGAGCTGCAGCGGCGCTACAAGGAGAAGCAGCGGGAGCTGGCCCGCCTGCAGCGCAGGCATGACCACGAGTACGCCTGGGGTCGGGGGGGCAGGCACGTGTGATTCAGGCTCCCGGACAGATGTGGGTACAGCCCAGCCCAGGGCACCTCCTTGTAGGCAGGGAGCACCCTGGTGGACCGGCTGAGCTGGTCAGAAGCTGGGGCCTGGGAGGGTCCGTTGAGGCAGCAGGATGATGAGCTGTTCACCCAGCAGAGAAACCAAGTCAGGGCGGGGGGTCCAGGTGGGAGAACTGCCAGCAGAGGCTGGTGCAGCCTCCCTGGGTCAAGTCTTGGGAGGGCCTGCCCCCCGCAGCTCCCCAAGGGCAGTGCCCTCTCCTGGATCCCCATCCGGGAGCCAGAGTGGGCATAAGTCTCAGACCGCCTCTCCTGTGGCCCCCAGGAGAGAGGAGAGCTCGAGGAGCCCTGCCAGGCGAGGGCCGGGCCGGCCAAGGAAGCGCAAATACTCCAGCTTGCTGCCTGCCCTGCGAGCCAGCGGCCCACTCCCCAGGGGCGACGGCAAGAAGGTCAAGTGAGTCCTGGGTGCGGGGCGGCCACGGGGTGCCTCAGGCCAGCGGGTACGTGGTGGGGCTGGCGCTGGGCTCCTCTCTGGCTCCCCAGCTGCCCCCACTTCACAGCTCCTCCTGAACACCCAGCATTCCCTCTCGGAACGCTGGGCCACAGTGACCACCCAGCAGACGGAGCCCAGGCCAGACGTCCCCTTCCCTCTGCCCACTGTCAGCACTCGACCCCACCTGGGCTCCTTTCCTCTTGGAAGTCACTGTGAGCCCGGAGGGCGGCCACACCACCTCCACACACCCGGCCGTGGCCAGGGCTGTGGCATGGCCCCACCCACGCTGCGGCCTGTGGCCCGGCGCCCTCGAGCGTGAGGCGGCGTTGCGTAAAAGCCTCTTTATCTGCGCTGTATAAAGTCGTTGGTCACGCTGCGGTGCTGCTCACGGCTGCCGAGCGATGTTATTATCCATTACCCGCCCGGCAGAGTCGTTGGCGCACTCCCGGGCCTGGTATAATTGTCCTTCTCGGCTACAAATTGCCTCTCCCGGCAGGCCCATTTGCATAAATCCTCCGAGCTCCTCCAAACACGATTGGCGCGCGCGTGTGCGCACTGCATCAATCCTGATGATTCGGTAATAATAGTTAAATCGGCACTAAATGGTTCCTTCAATTAAGACAGAGGCAAAAAATTAATCTCGGGGCTTTATGTCACAAAACATTAGCAAACGCAGAGAAGGGTACAGGGAGGGGTTTGCGTCGGCTGCGGGTGGTGGCGGGGAGGCGCCATATGGCCGGGGGGCCTCCCCGAGCTGTCCCTCCGCCCTGCCCAGGTGTTACCTGGCAGGGGGCTCCAGGGGTCCCCCTTTGAGAACCGGCCAGCGCAGTGGGGGCTGCTGGCTAGGGTGGTGACCACCGATGCCAGGGTCTGGCCAGGGGCCCTGTTGGGAAGCCCCTGGCGAGGCTGCCCCACACTGTGCTCTAGCCCACCTGGCATGAAGCCCCCAACCCTGGAAGCCCATCCTGCTGTTCACTTGCAGCCACTTTCTCCACTGACCCTAGAAGCCGGGCCGTGGCTGGAGGGCAGTGGCCTCAGGACAGGGAAGGAAACCAAGTCCAGGGAGTTTCCTTCCTAAGGATCAGGGCTCCCTCTCGCCACCTCCCCGTGTTGGGTTCCTACACTCCCCATCCCCCTGTGGGGCCCTGCCCTGCAGGGCTGCTGGCAGTTGGGCCCAGGCAGGAAGTGGGAGGGCTGGGGCCTGGGGGCCAAGCATGGCTGCAGGGCCCCGCTTCCTGCCCAGCCTCCTCCCTGGCTGGGAAGGGGAAGGGGAACTTCCGGCCACATGGGCCGGGGCCAGGCCAGGGCTCTCAGCTTCCATCTGTGACTCGTTTTCATTAACGCCGTGTTGGCGGAGGAGGGGGCAAGTGAGAGGTCAGCCCCCGTCTAGCATAGGACAGCAAATACAGGCATCTCCCCGCTCACACATGTGGGACATGGGGAAACTGAGGCTCAGTACTGGCAGCTTCCCGGATCCCGTCTGAGAGCTGGGCGGGGGGTACAGGGTTCCCTCCCTCAAGACGCTGAATTGAGGGCAGAGGATGGAGCTCTGAGGGGTCTGAGCCCAGCAGAGCATCCCCTGGGGACCCCCTGGGGACTGGGAGGCAGAGCTTCCCTGGTGGCTGCCGCCACCCTCTTCCTGGCAGTGGCTGTGATGATAGAGGCGGCCGCATTCTCAGGAGCCTTTCCCAGCGCCTTCTTCCTGATTTGGTAGCAGGTGGTTCCCTAGGGCCTCAGCCTAGCAGAGAGGCACAGTTGTTACTGTCTCAATCTTCCAGTGGAAAGACTGAGGCTACAGACCCGGTCACACAGTGGCCCAGCCAGCCACGGAGCCCTGGCTCCTGAGCCCAGGGCTGCGCCTCCAGTCAGAGAGCCGAGGGTCTGGCTGGGAGGCAGGTGCCCAGGGGGGCTGAGTACTGGCAGAGGGGGGTCTCCCAGACATGCAGCTGCACCATGTGACCCCCCCCCCGGGGTGCCCTGGCTGCCGCCACAGGAACCGTTTGGGGACAAGGCCCAGGGCGCCCAGGTGTGCCTGCGTCTGGCCTCACTCACCTGTGCCCCTGCGCCCCCAGAGCCATGCGGTCCAGCCTGAGCCTGCTGTGTGCTGAGCTGCGGGGCGGCAGCGACGAGCCCACGAAGAAGCGGAGCCGACTGGAAAAGGGCGTCCGTGTGAGCCTGCAGCCCGCCCCTGTGGTGAGTCCCAGGTCCGCCCTCGGGCTCAGGGTGCGGGATGTGGAAGAGACAGGGCCTGAGCCCACGGGGACACTGCCACCCTACTCTGCACCAGCACCCAGCTGGGCTGCCACTGTTCAGATGAGCAAACCAAGGCCCAGCATACTTCAGGACCTCAGCAGAGGCTGGCCTCTGACCCTGCGGGTGGGACAAGGAGCTGGTTATGCTCTGTGACCCCCTCAGCTCACAAAGGCAGAAGGAACAGGAAGGCAGAGGAACCCCAGGGTACAGAGAGGATCTCAGGAGTGGGTCCATGGAGTCCACGGGGCCTGGTGCACACCTGGTGTAGTGCAGGCTGATGGCAACTGCCCCTGCCCTGGGGTGGGCTGGCCCTCAGGTGCCAGCATGCATTCCTTCTCTGTGCAGGGGGCGCCTCCCGCCCCTTCTCTATCCCAGGGTCCGGGGAGGGACAGGTGAGGGGCGGGTCTGAGCATGATATCACTTTGCCCATCCCTCCCAGAGCACACACAGCCCCCTGGGCCCTTGGCCTCCCTCCCCCTAGCCTGAGTAGGGGAGGCGGGGGGTGGCTGTGGGGTGGGGGACGGGACAGGCACAATTGTAGGCTCCAATGGGCAGGCCCTGTGCCCCTGGGCCAGAAGCTGTCTTGGCCCTTTGGAGGGCAATGCCAAGGAAAGTGACACCTTCCGAGCATGGCTTGGGGTGAGGGCCCCAGTGAGTGCAGCTGCTGCCTGCCCATTTGCAGGAGAAGGTTCGGTGCAAGAAAAGCAGTAGTCAGGGCGAGCTGGTGTCCGCAGTGGCCCACAAGGTGGCCCAGCTGAAGCCGAAAGTCAAGAACAAGGGGCTGCCCACCACCCTCAGTCCCTTCCGGCGGAAAGAGGCTGCCCCAGGTGGGCGAATTCGGAAGAAGTTGTCTCGAGCCCAGAGCACTACAGTGTCTGGGGCAGCCCGGCACCCACAGCCCGACGGTGACGGCAGCAGGGAGACACCCAAGTTCCCTGCCCAGCCGGCAGAGGCCACGGCACTCGAGGCAGGCAAGTCATTGGTCTGAGCGTGGCAGCCAGGACCTCCGGGCCGTGGTCCCTTGGAGGCTGGGGGAGAAGGCGGGCAGAGGCTAGGACAGCCTCAGGAGCCAGGTCAGGGCTCATGGGGTTGCTGGACCCAGGGAGGACCTCCTGCTGGCACGGGCAGGGGAAGAAGACCTCGCCCCAGGGCAGAGCACAGAGGTCTCTCTGCCCTACCCCCACATCAGGGCAAAGAGGAGGAAAGAGGCCCCTGGATGCATCCTGGAAAGGGGGCTAAAAATAGCCCTTCTGCTGCCCAGCCTGCCTTCCTGCAGCGTCCGGCCATGCTGACCTGGAGGGGTTATCAGGCCCCCAGCAAACACACATGTCCAGAAACAGGAGCCTGGAAAAATAGACGCTTCCTCCCCTCGAGCCCCTGCCTCCCCAGGTCTCCCCTGAGAAGGAACAAAGGGAGGGAAAGAGGAAGGAGGAAGTGGGAGGCCATTTGACGGGAGGACTACAGAAAGGGGGAGGGGCTGCCCTGGGGAAAGCTCCCCAAGCTGGCAGGGAGGGCACCCCGCTGCCCAGGGTATAAGAAAGGAAAAGGGAGGCAGGGAGAAGGGCAGAGAGGTGCCTCCCCTTCCCATCCCCATCCCCCCTCCACAGGACGCCTGGCCAGGTGCCTGCCCCCAGAGCTGCCCCAGGGATGACAGTGACAGGGCCCCACTCAGCCCCCAGCATATCCACACAAGAACGGTCAGCTCCCCTGATTCCAGCCCAAAATGGTGCTGCTCTGACGCCAGGTCACCCGGACCCTCCACCTCCCCCCAGGCAGTGGCTATGACAGTGAGACCTGCGAGGGTCTCTTAGGGACAGAGGCACCCCCCAAGGAGCCTGGGCTGGCTCTGCATGCTGGGGCCAGTGTGGCTGCGCTGGGGCCCTCGCCCTCCTCCGTGGTCAAGATGGAAGCCAACCAGAAAGCCAAGAAGAAGAAAGAGCGACAGGGCTTGCTGGGTAAGCAGGCGCAAGGGCAGCTGGGGTCAGCCTGGCCAGCAGGACCCCACAGCTGGGACCCTTGCGATCGCCCCCCTCCCTCCTACAGGGGCCTGCCGCCTGTCCAGCCCAGAGAGCGAGGTCAAGATCAAGAGGCGGGCGGTGAAGGCCAAGGTGGGCACCAAGCTGGAGCGGGCCCCGGGGCGCAGGCCCCCAGGCGCGCCAGGCAAGAAGAAGGCCAAGGGTAAGGCCAAAGGTGGCCTGCGGGCAGAGCCGGGGTCCACCCCCAGCAGGGACGCCCTCTTCAGCCCCACCCGGGCCTTTACCTGCCGCGAGGAGGGCAGCAAGCTAGCCAGCGAGCGCCTCAAGAGAGCCACACGCAAGAGCACAATGCTGCAGCCAGGACTGCGGGTGAGGGCCAGCCGGCACCCCACAGTCAGTGGGCACCCTCCCAAGGGTTCTGGGCCCAGCAGGGTGGGTACCAGATGCAAAAGACCTTGGGGACCTCGCTTCACCCTCTCCTTGCTGAGTCACAGCCTGGGGCTCACACTCGGGGTCAGCACAAGTCATACCCTGGGCCGGCCACCAGCTGGGAGCTGGTGCCACCCTCACCTCAGTCCCTTCCCACCTGCCCCAACAGCGGAAGAACGGGGCCCTGTCCATCGCCCTGTCGCCCCGCAATGCCAAGGCCATCCTGGGGAGGGGCAGGAAGGTGGCCAAGGTGAAAAACAAGGCCAGCGGCAAGCAGGTAGCGTCCCCCACCCCTGGGGTCCGGCTGGGGCACAGACCTCTCCCACAGCCCCCAGAGGGAGCTGACCCCTCTGGCCCCCCAGGGCAAGGGCCGGGCGGTGAGCCGGCTACTGGAGAGCTTCGCAGTGGAGGACGACTTCGAGTTTGACGACAGCAGCAGCTTCTCGGAGGAGGAGGAGGAGGACGAGGAGGGGCCCAGTGGCCCCCTGAGCGCAGAGCAGAGCGCCGCCCTGGGTGAGTGGCGGGAGGAGCACTGAGGGGCGGGGAGAAGCGGGGGCGGGCAGAGGCCAGGTGCTGACACCACGGTCCCCCCAGCACGTTCGTGCACCATCCACAAGGAGGACCTGCAGGACGGGCTGGCTGTGCTTATCCCCAAGGAAGACAGTCTGCTGTATGCGGGCAGCGTCAGGACCCTGCAGCCCCCGGACATGTGAGGCCCGGGTGTAGCTGGGGAGAGGGACGCGGGCCGTGGCCTCCATGGGTGGCCGTGGATGCGCAGGCCCCTTCACACTCCCCCAACACCTCTCAGCTACAGCATCGTCATCGAGGGTGAGAGAGGCAACCGGCAAAGGATCTACTCACTGGAGCAGCTGCTGCAGGAGGCGGTAAGGGGACAGCCCCCGCTCGGCCTGCTGCCCAGGGGAGGTGGCCTGGCTGCACGAAGCCCGTCGTGGTGCCCTTGGCCCAGCCCTGCCCACTCAGGGCTTGCCGCCCCTGCTATTCCCGCAGGTTCTCGATGTCCGGCCGCAGTCCAGCCGGTACCTTCCCCCCGGTACGAGGGTCTGCGCCTACTGGAGCCAGAAGTCGCGTTGCCTGTACCCAGGCAACGTGGTCCGAGGTAAGCTGCAGCCAAGGCCCCCAGCCAGGCTGATCAGCTCCTCTCCTCAAGCAGAGCTGCAGATGAGGCCACCTTGAGGCCCCCAGAGAGCCGGGGGAGGGGCTCCTGCCTCTCGGGTGGGGGGCGCCTCCCACCAGCCCTGCTTCCCAGGCCGAGCCAAGGCAGGCAGAGCTGACAGTGGGGTCAGCTCCTCCGTCACCAGGAAAGGCCAGGGGGTACTTGGGGTAGAGACAGGGTGGGGAGCTCTGGCTCTCCAGAAGGCCTGGCAGGGAAGGGGACCCAGAGCCCCGGTCCTGGGGATCATGAACTGGTACATGGGCACCAGCTCCCCTGGGGTGAATCCTCCTGACCTGCCAGGCAGGGGATGTGGGGCCCCTGGGGTCTGATGGGCAGGTGGGCGGGCAGGAGGCCTCCAGGCAGGCCTCAGCCAGGGGTGTATTTGCACACATGCACGTGTGTGTTGGGGGAGGTTTGGGCTCCGAATCCTTGTGTGCATGCCCCAGGGTGGGGGTGATGGATGGCGGTAATATTGTCGCTCCAGCCACAGCGCAGGAGGCAGAGGGGAGGCCGTCTGCTTCCCGCTGTGGCCCCTCCAAGGTGGAATGTGATCAGGGAGCAGAATCTGCCCAGCGTCATTTGTCAGGCGCCTGGGAGCCCATCCTGTCATCCTACCGTCCCGGCCACCTGGCCGCCAGGGAGAGCCCTGTGGGTCCTGAGCAGAGGGCCACATGCTCAGATGGGCCCCGTCCCCAGGCGCCTCCAGTGACGAGGAGGAGGACCTGGACTCAGTGGTGGTGGAGTTTGACGACGGGGACACCGGCCACATCGCCGTCTCCAACATCAGGCTGCTGCCTCCGGACTTCAAGATCCAGTGTGAGCCCTAGGGCCGCGGTGGGAGGCCTCTCACTGCCTGGTCAGCCCCACGCCGGGGTCGGGCTGGGCCTCCCCTGGGTCCAGACAGACTCCCGAGGAGGGTCGAGAGGAGGCCGTCACCCCACGGCACAGTGCTGAGGCCGCCCGTCCACTCTGCAGGCACAGAGCCCTCGCCGGCCCTGCTGGTGTCCAGCAGCTGCCGGAGGACTAAGAAAACTTCCTGCGAGGCCCCCCCACCCAGCGAGGCCACCGCCCCCAACCTGTCACCCAAGGCACATGACAGCCCTGAGGCCTCGAAGACCCCCGGGAAGAAATCCATCAGCAAAGACAAAGCTGGTACTCGAGGGGCTCCTGAGAACCCGGGTGGGGATGCACCCTCGGGGTGGGGCAGGGGGCCAGGAGCTGGGAGGGGTGGGCAGACGGTCCCTCTGACCCTACCTGGCCTCCCCCAGGCAAAGCAGAGCTGCTAACCTCAGGTGCCAAGCCCCCCTCAGGGGCCTCAGACCACTTCCTGGCCCGCCGGGGCAGCCCTCTGCTGAGCTGGTCGGCAGTGGCACAGACCAAGCGGAAGGCAGTGGCCGCAGCGACGGCGGGCGGCAAGGGGCCGGGCGTGCTGCAGAACCTCTTCCAGCTCAACGGCAGCGCCAAGAAGCTGCGGGCCCGCGAGGCGCTGTTCCCTGTGCACAGCGTGGCCACGCCCGTGTTCGGCAATGGTTTCCGTGCCGACTCCTTCAGCAGCCTGGCCAGCTCCTACACGCCCTTCGTCGGCGCGGGCGGGCCGGGCCTGCCCGGGGGCGCCCACAAGCTGCTGCGGGCCAAGAAAGCCGAGCGGGCCGAGGCCGAGAAGGGCGGGCGGCGGCGGGCGGGCGGCGAGTTCCTGGTCAAGCTGGACCACGAGGGCGTGACCTCCCCCAAGAATAAGAACTGCAAAGCACTGCTCGTGGGCGACAAGGACCTCGGGCCCAAGCTGGGGCGGCCCCTGCCCAGCCCAGGCTACGCACACCCAGCCCTCGTGGGCAAGGACAGGAAGGGCCGGGCACCCGTCCACCCATTGCCCGTGGGGCTGGCGCTGCGCAAGTTCACGGGCCAGGCCGAGTACACGCTACCCTGCGACAGTGACTGCCACAGCTCCTACTCGGACGAGGAGGAGGACGAGCCCGGGCTGGCCCCCGGTGTGCCCTCCCGCTTCCTCGCCCGCCTATCCGTGTCCTCCTCCTCCTCGGGCTCGTCCACCTCCTCCTCCTCGGGCTCCCTGTCCACCTCCAGCCTCTGCTCCTCGGACGACGAGGGCTCCTCCTACAGCTCGGACGATGAGGACCCGGCCCTGCTGCTGCAGACCTGCCTCACCCACCCAGTGCCCGCCCTCCTGGCCCAGCCTGAGGCCCTGCGTGCCAAGGGCAGCGGCCCCCACGCGCATGCCCAGCGCTGCTTCCTGTCCCGGGCCGCGGTGGCCAGCGGGGGCGCGGGCCCCAGCGGCAGCAAATCCAAGCTCAAGCGCAAGGAGGCCATGAGCTTCTCCAAAGCCAAAGAGCTTTCCCGGAGGCAACGGCTGCCCTCCGTGGAGAACCGGCCAAAGATCTCAGCCTTCCTGCCCGCCCGGCAGCTCTGGAAGTGGTCGGGGAGCCCCACGCAGGTGGGTGGGCCATCTCCCTGTGGGCAGAGGCCCAGTGGGGAACCCTGGTGCCCTGCGAAGCTGGCACGTGTTCCTGCTCCTCAGCTCCCTCTCTCTCTCTCTCTCTCTCTCTCTCTCTCTCTCTCTCTCTCTCTCGTTTTGGGGTTTATTCTATTCAATTTCAACGGAAAAAATTAGGAAACTCAAGGGAAGAACAAACACCCACCCATGATCCAAGGAGGCAGATGACCACTGTCTCAATTTCACCTCCAAGTCCTTGCCTTTGCCTATATGATCATGTGAATAAAGTTTGCACTGGGGCACGTACCCTGTGTTTTGTCCTGCCTGTGGCAGTTGCGCTTGTCCACAGTCCACAGTGTTGCATTGAGCTTCTTTTCATGTTGATGAACAACACAGCCAGCTTTGGGAGGGCTTCAAAATACCACCGCACGGATGCAAACGTTGTCTTTGCCAACGTTCTATGGGTGAACATGTAGTTGTTCAAGGTTTTTGCCCTTGTAGACGACGCTGCAGGGAACAGCTCACGGTTTTGCCCTTGTAGATGACACTGTAGTGGACAGCTCATGTTTTTGCCCTTGTAGATGATGCTCCAGTGGACAGCTCATGTTTTTGCCCTTGTAGACGACGCTCCAGTGGACGGCTCATAGTTTTACCCTCTCTGCCTTCAGATCCCACGTTCCTTTAGTTGGTTCAGTCTTGATGTCATGACCTGGTGGGCAGGGTAGACCCAGGCATGGCTGACCTCATCCTGGACCCATGGCTTGGTGGCCTTCCTCTGGCAGTTGTCTTGCCCTCACAGGTGCCCACGCACACACAGTCACACACGAAACATGCCGTCTGTCCCTCCTGCTCTGTCTCTGTCATTCTGTCTCCTGCACCTCCCAGCCACCGCCGGTCCCCGAGGCTTGGGCCCCCGTCAGCCCTCTGCTTCTGGTTGTCTCCCCTGCAGAGGCGGGGCATGAAGGGGAAAGCCAGGAAGCTGTTCTACAAGGCCATCGTCCGGGGCAAGGAGACGCTGCGCGTCGGGGACTGCGCCGTCTTCCTGTCGGCCGGGCGGCCCCACCTGCCCTACGTCGGCCGCATCGAGAGCATGTGGGAGTCGTGGGGCAGCAACATGGTCGTGAGGGTCAAGTGGTTCTACCACCCGGAGGAGACCAAGCTGGGGAAGCGGCAGAGCGACGGGAAGGTGAGGCCCCTGGGGTGCTGTGGGCAGGTGGGGATTCTGGGGGATCCAGAGCCAAAACAAGGGGAGTGGTCAACTCGGAGGCCCCTCCCCACCCCCACCCCTCAAAGCCTCCCTGCCCAGGGTGGCCACAGGCCCCGGAGGAAGCAAGGCAGCTGAGGGCTCGTGCCCTGGAACCCCGGTCCCTCCCCAGCTGCACCTCCTCCCTGGCTCTCCGTGAAATGGGTGATGACTTCACCTCGTGGGGGGGCTATGCCCCACAGCAGCAAGTGGCACCAAGCAGGTCTCATCCGAGGCAGCGCCTCTCTGCCCCATGGCCCTCTGCTCCCTGCCTCCCAATGCCAGCCTGAGACAGAAACGTCCCCCGTGCCCTCTCTGCTCTGCCCTGAGGAGAGCTTGGGTCTGCAGACAGTGCAGGAACAAGTGTCCCTCCGACTCCGCCTGGCTGCCCAGCGAAGAGGCTGCTTAGTCTAGGGACCCTTCCACAGCCAAGGGATCGGGTGGGGTGCACTGGCCGAGGCCGGCCGCCGACCCCGAGTGCTCCTCGCCCTCCTGGCCCCCACAGAACGCGCTGTACCAGTCCTGCCACGAGGACGAGAATGACGTGCAGACCATCTCCCACAAGTGCCAGGTCGTGGGGCGTGAGCAGTACGAGCAGATGACGCGGAGCCGCAAGTACCAGGACCGGCGGGACCTCTACTACCTGGCGGGCACCTACGACCCCACCACGGGGCGCCTGGTGACGGCCGACGGCGTGCCCATCTTGTGCTGAGCCTGCGCCCGGCTGGCCCGCGGAGGCCCTGCCCGCCCAGCGGTGCCCGGGGCGCGGAGCCGCGAGGACGCAGACAGGCAGCAGCCAGCCCCGCACCCCAAGGGGCGAGTCTGAGCAAATATGCAAACCCACCAGGCGAGACCTAGGCTTTTTTACTATTTTCCCTGGAAAGAGAGCTCTGGGCCTCGGATCCAGTCCCACCCTGTCTGCTGCGGAGGGTCGGCTGTGGCCCACCGGCCGCCGCGCTCTCTTTTCCCGCCGGCAGTTCACGAGAGATTAGAATCCAAGCCATATTTTCCCTAGTACCTCCGACTGTCTCCCACCAGGGAAAGCAGAAATCAGGTGTGTTGTCTATTTATTTCTCTCTGTAAATATTGTATTTCTGCGGGGAAGTTTTACGGAAAAAAAAGTGGAAAAGGATTTTCCCCACACGTGATGAGAGTGTGTGCGTGCGTGTGCGTGTGTGTGTAGAGATTTTGTTCTGGGGGGTTTTCTTTGAAAATGCACTGTTTTCCTCAGCATAGCTGAGTTCCAACTGGGGCATCTGTGATGACAGAGGCAGCTGAGGGTGGGGGGCGGGGGGCTGGAGGCCATAGGAGGGGTTGAATGGGACCCCTGGTGACACCCGCTGATCTCTTCGGGGGACTGTATAAGACGAAAGTCACACAAGTTTATTTCCTTTTAACTCATCTCCTAGGAAAAAAAGTTCTGGGGGGAGATTCAATAATGAGGGTCCTTTGGGGAGAGAAGGGATCCCAGAAGCTAAAATGAAAGCCAGGATCAGCTGGGCCCCCAGCCCAGGAGTGTGACAGCAGCCATACGTATCTTACCTCTGTTTAAAAAAAAGCAAAAATGAACAAATATTTTGAAGTACCGATATGAAAAAGTGATGTTTTGATTTTATTTCCTGAGTATTCCAAGTTACTGTTGATTTCTTTTCCGATGGCCAGTTTGTCCAGTGTCCACTCAGAGCAGGGAAGGGACTGGCCCCCGCCAACACACGTGGAGGTTTCCTGCGGCCACTTGGCAGGGCGAATAGCTTGTTGGGCTAGTGTTGGGAGCAGGGAGCGAGGGCCCCTCCTGCTCGCCTGAGCCCACACCCTGACCCTGAGTGTAGGGAGCTCCCCTCCGCCCAGTGCCCTGGGCACCAGACCCTCAGCGCCACCCCAGGAACCCCAGAGAACATGTCACCCTTCACTTGTCCCATGGCCAAGAGGGACAGACAGGGCAAGCCGGACCTGTAGCCCCACAGACCTTGTCCCCAAAACTCACCAAGGGCCATGTGTTCCCATGTCTCACCTCCCCGGGGCTCCCCTGGCCCCACCAGGAGCCCCAGGAAAGCCCCCCAAGCTAGCCACTGCTCCTTAGGACGAGTTCTCATGTGACCCACAGCCCAGGTGCCCAGGAAACAAGGCGTGGCAGCAGGTGCCGGCACCGCAACCTGGGCCCTCAGCCCCCCTTTCTTTCTGACCAGGAGACCAGAAAACCGTCCCGGCCCCCCCGGAGGGCCCTCCTCCCACTCCCGGCGGCTCCATGGGAAGTGCAGGGATGGGGAGGGGCCCCTGGACCCCAGCTTGCCCTCCGCCCGACGCTCCCCTTTGTCTGGCCGAGTGCAATATTTCATTCCTGGTGGGGGCGTCCCGGTGGCATCCGCTGGCCGAGGGGCTGCCAGGGCCGGGGAAGCAGGAAGATGCGGAAGGGGAAGACGCGCCCTGCTCCGCGTGGGGACAGCCCAGCCGCGAAGCGCAGCCCAGGGCTGCTTTCACCCCGAGCACCCAGCAAAGGGAACACGCCCCCACCCCGGGTCTCCGCTATCCTGTCCTGTCCTCTCTCCTCCCCCATCTGTGTCTGTACGTGTGGATGGTGTGGCCCCTCCCCCAACCGTGGTTAAACCTGGCAGAAGCTCCCCTATTGTAAATGTGTAAACGAAGAGGATGGTTGGGTTTTTTTCAATGTAAACACTAAAAACAAACAAACAAAAAAAAAAACACAAAGGTTTTATGAACAGCAAACTCTATGTAAAGGCATTTTAGTATTAAATTTTCTATTGATAACTTGCTTAAGAATAAATATATGAACTATTGTACAGTTTTCGGTGGTCTGGAATCCTAATTGTGCCTCAGGGTCTGTGTGCATGTCGCACGGTGACTCCCTGGAGCCCCAGAGATTTGGGGGGTCTCAGCAGACACGCCCAAGCCCCGGGCCTGGGGCGTCTCAGCCAGGCCTGCCGCCTGTTGGGCGGAGCGGAGCCCCTCCAGGCACCGGCCTCAGGCCCGTGAGAGGGACGTCCATCCAGAATGGGTCTGGGGCGGCCGGGGCCTCTGAAGGTCTGTATAGATCTCACCAGATGTCGGTCAGATGTCCAGCATGAACCAGTCCATGTGGCCAGGGCAGACGCCCCTGGAGGTGAGAAGGGGAGGGTCAGCCCGCAAAGGCACAAGCACAAGGAGGAAGGGTGGTCCCCAAAGTTCTGTGGCCTGCAGAGGGAATGGCGTGGGCCGACCAAACAGCAGACACCATCCTCAAGGAGAGCATGAATTTATTCATTCAACAAACATTTTGTTGACTGACAGCTGCGCATGGGGTAATAAATAAACAACGCCCCTGATTGTCAGATGGAGAGTTGACACCCCAAGCTTGGGGGTTTCAGGAAGAGGGGTGCAAAAGGGGGCTGAGAAGCCAGGCCAATGCACCCCCCCCCCCAGCTAGAGAGAGCCCCATCCAGTGAGGCTGCAGGCCCTGAGGTCTTTCCGGGAAGCCTGCCACTCAGCCAGGCAGGGCCCGAGGGAGGGAGACCCCAGCTGGGAGTGGGGACCTTGGTAAGTGGACTCTGGGTCAGGGCAGGTATGCAGGGGCAAGGTCAGCGCAAGGAGTGGGGCTGTGACCCAGACACAGACCCACCCCCCCAGGTGCATAAGGAGCTGCTGGTCCGCCATCAAATTGAGAGCACTCCCTCTACAACCCAGGGCTCAGAGTTGGAGGAACCAGACTGGCACCTGGGGGAGGTGCTGGCACCCAGAGAAAGGCTCTAAGGGGTGGAGGGCAGGACCGTGGGTCGGGGGGCTGGCTGGACGACAAGGAGGACCGCCAATGGGCCCAGGAATGGGGGCCGGTGGGGTAAGCCAGGAGTCAGGTGACTGCTGGAACACAGAGGGTCGGACCTCGCCCTGAGGAACTCTGCAGGGGGCAGCAGTGGGCACTGAGGTAGGACACATAGCCTGGCCTCCACTGGCCCCTCCTCCCTGGGACACCCTGGCCCCACTGCGACCTGACCCACCTAGCCCTGCTCATTCCCCCAGCCCCACCCTCTCCTCCCCAACCCCCTCTGGTTGCCTCCTTTCCCCCCTTCCCTCTTCCCGCCTTAATTCAGACAGGGTGGCCCTTGCCTTCCAGAACCTCCTGCCCCCCAGAACAGCGCCTGGGCAAGGGACAAGGGTGGGCACGTGAGGCTGCAGAGCCCCAAGGGTTAAACATGCGGGACTGTGCTTTGATCAAGACAAACGAGCCATGATGTGAAACACTGAAGCAAGATGGATGATGGCACTGGGGGAGCGAGATCAATAAAAGTGATGTTTTATCAGGGAGAAATGACAACCTGGCCCATCGCAATTTGTTTTTAATACCACAAACCAATTGGGGACAAGAGGCTTTAATTGTTCGTGCCCTGGCCTGGGTGAGGTGGCCAGGGGGCTGGGCAGGGACGGGGGAGAGGTCGGCTCTGCCGCCCAGCCAGCAAGGGGTCACCTGGGCACTCAGCTGGCCAAAGGCAGGTGGTCGGTCGGGCCCCTGGCAGCCTCCTGAGTCTGTGCAGCTGCACGAGGCTGTGCCAGGTGAGGAGGGACCCACCTCCAGGGCCCCTGGGTGCCCACTGAGGAAGTGGACAGAGGAGGCACCAAGGAGAGTGACTCTGAAAGGCTCCCTTTCCTCCCACCAGGAACCCAGGGGTCTCGACCTCCATGCTCCATTCCCGCTGCCCCCTGCTGTCACCTCGTCCCATTCCCCAGGGGCCGCAGGGACAAGCCAGCACCCCTCCAAAGCCGTTTCTCCTCTAAAATTCAAGCCTTCTGCCCCCTTCCCCGGACACCTGCCTCAGGCCGCTAGCTCAGATATGGGCTGCTGGGTGGATGAGCTCCCCTAGACAACCAGGCTGGGGGGTCATTAAAGCCCACGCCCCCACTCAGTGCCCTCCCAGGGCCAGAGGCCCACCACGAGGAGCACCAAGAGGGTGGAGCGACTTGGCCTCCCTCAGAGAGAAGGCCAGGTGGAAGGGAGGCCTGCAGGGTGAGGCGGCGGTGGGTCTGCGGCGGCGGTCGGTCTGTGGCCTGGGGCGCCCCATCTCAGGCCTCAGAGTGCTTGTCTGTGAAATGGGTCCCCAACTTTTGCCTGCCGATGAGATGGGGGTGAGGTGCCCGGGAGGCAGCAGAAGGCATTTGCAGCCCCGCGGGCGGGCAGGCCCTTTCCCTGGTCCTCACACCACTGCCCCCGGGTAGGAAGGGCCAGCACTTTCTTGCTGCCCCAACACTGTCCTGGCTGTCAGTGACCAGGGCTCGCAGTGTGGGGACACACACAGGGCCCCGGGCTGGACACACTGGAGCCAGATTCCACGCCCCTGTCTGGCTCAGGGGCGCGGCTCTTCCCCACCTAGGGATTCCTCAGGGCCCAGGAAGCTGCCCCAGCAACTCCACCAAGGGTCACCGCAGCCTCCCTGGGGGCTCAGGCCAGGGATTCACGGGGGCTTCCCTAGGGGCGCACAAGGGGGACTGCCTGCCCTCCTCTGACAAGTTCGAGGAGTCATCGGCGTGTCAGGTCTGCATCCACCTGCCCTGCCCCCCATGTAAAGAAGGATCCCTGGTGGAGTCCCCAAAGCCGTGGACACACCTCCCTCCCTCACACTAGCCAGGGACCCCACAGGTCCGCAAGGGCCGTGGAGCCCCCGTGCAGCCCCCAGCCCAGCCCTGAGGATGGCAGGAGGGTGGGGGCTGCTGAGACAAAGAGCACCAGAGGAAGAGAAAGGAAAGGCAGCCCCAAGCTTCCAGGAGGGGTGAGAAGAGAAGCGGGGGCCAAGGAGGGGCTCTGAGCAGTGATGGGGGAGGGGTGCCAACACCCCTCCTTCCCTCCCACCCCTACTCCCTCCTCCCACCCCGGCTGCCCTGGAACTCAGAAGTTCAGACACACTACTCGTTTGTCAAGCTCTGCATGCCCCCAAGGTCCTGGGCCCCAGGGAGAGAGTCTCCGTCAGACTCACTAGGGACCAGACCCCTGGGAGGTGTGGGGATGAACAGGGTGGCTGTGGGCCATCATGGACAGCCCTGGGACCCCTTTTCTTCAGCCTCCTCACCAGGAGCCCAGACTAGCTCTAGTGGTACCAACGAGCCAGGTCGGTGTCTCAAGGCAGGGCGGATTCGTCACACCTGGCCAGCCAGGCCGGGACAGGGAGCGGCAGCTGCGGGACACGAGAATCATCAGGCTGTAAACCTGACAGTCGGGGAGGGGCAGGGACTCGCCTGTTCAGACTCCTGACTCAGTGTTCTGCAAGCTTGACCTCCCCTCTGCAGGGCCTCGGGTCCTCACCCCGCACCCTCAGGAGTGTTGCAGGAGCCCAGCTGAGGCAGAAAGAGGACAGGGCAGCTTCCAAACCCCCCGTCTGTGTCTGGTGCCCTATGGAGGGGATCAAGTCTGTCGCCAGAGCTCTCCAGGCATCAATTTTGAAGTTCGGAGCCCACTTGAATCCCGACGGCTGGGATTCCCCAAACAGGAAGCAGAGGCCATCCCTGAAGAGCGTCCAAAGAACTGTCGTAATCACCGCTTCGCTGCTGAGCCGACCAAGAGCAAGCCACTCGGAGCCCAGAGAAGGGCTAGGAAGGCGCACGACGCACAGCGAGGCACTCATTTGTTTTCTTAAGTTCAACGTCCCCCTGACAACATCCTTTGCCCCTTTCTTTCGCTTAGCTTGAGTTCTCAGGTGCTCTCCATCACATGCTGCCCCAAGTTCAGAGTTAGCGGGACCACTCGCATGGGTGTTTCCTGTCTGATTTTGCAGGGTTCCCGAGGCTGAGTGCATCTGTCTGCAGAAAGAAAAGGCAAGGGACTGAGCCAGCACACTAGGCTCGCGGGCCAATGCCTGCTGTTCAGGGGAACCTTCACTGGTCCTGTTTCCCTCAACGGAGAGGGACAGCGGGCTCCTGATGATACCCAGGGCTGGCGGGGAAGCTGCCAACACCTCCAGTCTACTCCAAACATCCAGGAACCAGTTATCCTGCCCATCAGAGAAAGGCACAGCCCACATCTTTCTCAACCCCTGCAGATGTGATCTGCTGCTGGCAGGAACACAACTTGCTTCTGTCTGTCCACCCATCCACCCATTGTCTGTCATTTCAACAAGTATGGACTGAAGACCTACTTTGTGCTGGGCCCTGTGCCAGGCACGGGGATGCAGTGCCAGGGGATTGCACAAAGTTCCCACCCTCCAGGAGCTCGGAGCCCAGCAGGGAAGAAGGCTGGTACAGAAGCCAAGGCATCCAGCAAGCCCAGAGCTCCATGGAGAAGCTGTGCTGGAGGGCACCGGGCAGGGCCCCTCCTTAGCACAGAGCGTCTGCGGGCCAAGAAATCCAGGTCAAGGACCCCGGGAGGGGAGCAATCCTGCTCCTCTCACAGGAAACTCAGCCCCCGGCAGAAAGCACTTCTGGGAGCAACTGCAGCTGCTTCTTTTAACTGGTTTAATCTGAAGAAAAAAGTTCCAGCTAAAGCAGCTTTCAGAGGAAGGGAGGACCAGGGGGTTTGCCAAGTGGGAACCATCTTCCATTGGCATCAACTCAGAAAATAGTGACACGGGAGAACAACCTCCAGGCCTGGGCCCTCTACCCTGGGGTAGGCTGACCCCGAGGCCAGTAGGAACTCGGCTGTGCTGAGCCTGGGGGTGGGGGCTGGGGCTCCACTGAGATCAAGCCTCCAGATGCCGGTGGGGTGGGTTCAACCCAAGGCCCCCCGCAGCCCCTCTCCCCTAAGGTTCCCAGCAGTGAGGAGCCCCGGGCTCCCGAGCCCTTCCTGCGGAGATGGAATGGTCTAGAGGCCTCCTCACAATTTGGTTTGCT